TAAATAATCATTGCTAAAAGTGCAATACGTTTTAGTTTAAGATCGCTTTACTGGTACGTTGCAATATATCATCAACAAATGTACATCTAAACAAAACCCGATTTACTTTTTGCGCTTGAGCAACCGATTGTCGTTAACAGCTCATGATTTGAAAAGTATACAAATCATTTGTATTGGTATTAAAGACAAGTCTTGTTTAACATCTTAGTCTTAACTAGATAATGATACTGTAAAAAGATAATATGTTATGCATTCATTTCTATCATGCTTAAAGCAGAATCAGAAAATATCTAAGATAAAAAAGAAACAATGAAGAGTAACTTTTTAAAATGAAAATAATAAAATCATATGCCACAGTACCGACGAAGTCCCGTTAACAATTGCGAAACGTAATAAAATTCCTTAACTTAATATTCAAAAAAGTGATAACTTAGTACATGGACTATGAATAAAAAAAATAATAACAGGGTACGGATAACGGGTATGCTTTATTTATTCAGATCAACGTATTTTGTAAGGTACTTACACAAAATGTTTATTGGAAGTATCATACTTGATCTGACGGATTTTGACAAAGAATACACATTATGTCTAAAGAAATAATAGTAGGTCTTTGATTAATATAAAACAGATAAAACGCAGTATTTTTTTTTGTTGATATGTTTGTTCAGATTAATTAAAATCTATTAAGAATTAAAGATACTTTAATTTCCATTTAGTGTATTAAATTCTTTAATATCAGTAAAGTTAACTCACTGAGTTAAATATACTAAAACAATAATAAGCTTTGTAATATCAAAACTCATCTTAAAGGGTATTTTTATTTCATATCATCAGATAAAGATGTCAGTTGCACGAAATAGTCCAATAGCAGTGTATTTGTTTTGTTTGGGTAGTTTTGACCCCTGTTGCTTAAAGTTTGTAACATCTCCCGCGCTGACGACATATGACATATCTTTTTGTCCCGTAAAACCAAACAAATGAAAAGTCAAAAGATCAGGGACCTTAGTATTACCACTTGTCTTCCATTAGCTAGTTCGAGCGTTTCCTCATGAAGATCAGTTTGATCGATAACGTAAACATGGCACAGTAAAGAATATGATCTCGCAAATGTCAATGGTAAGTCTTAATAAATTAAGAGTACGGCAATAACAAAATTGGTTTCACTGTTTATATGAACTGGTCTATAGATGATATTGTATCTGTATATCATCGCCTTTACCAGTTTAGAAATAATACGACATGTAAATGTTGATGTACTTTTAATTGAAACTAAGAAACATTCAATGACAGAAGCTTCAATATCGAATCAATAACTTATTAAATCTGAGATTCATTGCCATAAACCGCTACTGTAACAGTTTATATAAATATTTCAACACTCGAACAGTGTTTACAATGCTCCTTTGGCAGGAATTAATCACTAAGTATTACCAACAGCCTTTAACTGTCGTGTCACGTTTCTGATTGCTAATCTTATAATACAAAAGGTCGGATGGAGTTTAACAGTTTTTATTTAGATTACGTGATGTAATATCATTAGTTTAAAAACAATATCTCACGGAAACAAACAAACAATACATTTAATCATATAAAAGTCTATAACGTTTAACTTTAATAGCCCTCCTCTAATGTCAGTGACGTACAATATATTTCTGACAAAGATTTTGAGTTGTGCCCTGAAAAAAAAACAGACGACAAGTTGGTTCAAGTAATTATTTTACAATATTGTTGTGGGGAATATAATAATTGTTATATGTGGTTATGGTTTTACACATTTGTATACAATGTATTTTCTTGTCTATCTAACGTACGTTAACATTGATTTGAATGTGAGATATGTTCACTTTTTAATCACATCAATTTACATTTCCTGATATTCATATTTCACGGACATTTATGATGATTGATTAACCAATTACTGTCCACATTACCCCATTCGGTAAACACATTATACAGCAGTCAGTTACTTTGATTAATGTGCAGAAACCAGTTATTTATCTTACACATCAGGAGTTTATTTTAGAAGAAGTTCCACATAGAAGGATATAAGACATCCTCTTTATAGTAGATCTTTGCCATTTCGAGTCTTCCTTTTATTTATTTATTTATTCATTTATTTATTTTTTATTTTATTTTTTCATTTAATTTTGGATTTTACTATTATCTTGAATTGCATGCAAACACAGAAAGCGCAACAAATAAGACTTAACATATTTCAGTTAAAAATCATAGCTTTTTAATAAAATTTACACCATTAGACGCGGAAATCATTTAGGAAAAAAAGGATATATAATTAAAGAATATTAAGTGTAAATATAATACCGTCCGTGTGATTATCACGGCACTACCCTAAACCGTGTGATAATTACGACCCTGCGTAATAATCACACGCGTGGTAATATTACGCGTGTGATAATTACGCGACACCGGTATCGGTAATATACAAACAATTTGTACCATGGGTTTCGATGATAGAGATAAGCATGCTTGTTTAAAATGTTTTTAACTAATGAGGAATTCATGATAATTATAGGTTTATCTTTGTAGTTTTTGCAATGATATTTTATACATTCATTCGACATGTTATTAAAGAGTAAAAAAGAGGAGAACGTTGAAAGGACATTTTCTTCTGTTTTCACAATTTCCTTTTTGATTTTTTTATGATTTGTACAATCAATGTCTATGTTTTATGTGTATATTTATATCTGTATATATTCAGGAAATCAAATTCCAAATGAAATATATTATAGCCCATCACGTATTATAGAAAATACATTGGAACTGAAAAGGGCACGTTATACTTATTTCGTGACAACTTGGAAGATTGTCTGGTATTTATGCAGATGAAGGAATATTATGACAGTCTTAAGTTACCAATCAGTCAAATAATTTGCACCTTCACCGTCTAATAGGTCGATCTTTGCACTTAGTTTGGTAATAAAAAATAAATTCAATATATCTTGTTCGTTTTCTTTTCATCTGAATTACATGTATAACAGTTCAACTGTATAATTGGGATATGTCTCTTACCGTATAATACACTGTTGAAGTTATCAAATGAAACAAATATTATAGTTTTTTAGAAACTAAGTCAAGCAACATCCTCATTTTCAGAGTAATTTTGAATTAAAGTTTAAAAATTGTTTAATTAAAAGTGTCAGAATAATCATACAGTTTAACTGTAGATAGTTGTTTTTTTTTACAACGAGTCAGCGATACACTGAAGTGTATCAGATTTCAATGTACAGTTTCATTTATAAACCTGTTGCTGGGAGTATAAAATATGTATACATGTTTAAAGTTCAAATCGTTTAAGCTAGCAAATATGCGCGTTTAGAGAGAGATTTTACATCAGTTAGGTGAGACACGCTGATAGTGTGTAGCGGTTATTTTTTTATTTTGTTGTTTTGAAGTCAGTTTTGTTGGTTTGTTGAAGTGGTTGAATATAATTGTGGTGATCTTAATTGATCAGGGTCAATTGGTTGTAATTTGTTGTTTTGGTTGTTGAGTTATATCTGTTTGTGAAGATATAATTAGTTGATATTGGTTGAATGTTTGGTATTGTCAAGATTATATTAGTTGCTGCTTTGTTTTGAGGATATATGTAAATATTGGGGGCTTTAGTTTAAGTTAATATTGTTGTATGAATGTTTGTGGTTTATACTGTATCTTAGAGTTGTAAAAATATTCATTTTTGTGTTCTTCATTTTGTGGTGATTTTTTTGTTTTGTTTGATCATAAGTTGTTTAGAGCTTGGGCTCGCCAGGTGTCTTGTTTCGTATAAAAGACGTATACGTGAAAAGATATTTCATATAAGTGGCTGAAAATGATGTGTGTTTGTTTTGGGTGTAAATAATGATCAGAGTTCTTTGTTTTGGGTGTAAATAATAATCAGAGTTTGTTGTTTACATGTATATATTGATTTGAGATAGAAAAGGATAAAAATACCTAAAAAAAAAGATAGTGTTAACTAAACAATTACATGCTAGTTTTCCAACTGAGAATATTTCACTTTTATGTCAGGCGGTGCTGCCCAGCATCCATATCTTGGAAATTGGTTATAGTATTTATTACTAAATCTTTTCTTAGATTAAATAACATCAAGGCAGACATTTCTCCTGACAATTTGGGGGCTCGTCCGGGATATTCTCTTTAAGTTGGAATCTTTCCTGGCAAATTATTGTTTGTTAAATTTTGATAAATTTTTTGTTAAACCTTAAAATAGATAAAAACAGAATCCCTAAAGAAAGCCCAACACGGCAAAATTGAAAATGTTGCAGGCTCGGTTTGATTGAGCCTGTTCATGGACGGTACTGGAAAGTGCAAGTTACCGTCCACGCCCCCTAGCACCGGCTTAAGCAGAATTCAACATTTAAACATGAAATGGTAAAATTTTGAATTTAGAAACATCCGCAGATGTGTTCATACGGCGGTAATCATGGAACCTTCAATGTGACACTTCCGTGCCATTCCATGAAATGGCCATTTTCGATCTGTTGGTAAAATGTAGCAGTGTAAAATGCTGTTAGGCGAAAATCGATAGACCTTCGTTGTAGTGTTATACAAGTAAACTCTCTGTATAATAGAGTTTAAGTAGAGAATTATATGTACAGAAGCGGTGACGGCCTGTGTTTAAAGTTTATGTAAACTGAAGAATTTATTGCATTTTAGCAGGGGAGCACCCTTTGTTAAATACAGTTTATACGGTGATAGATTTAAGTGGTTTTTTGGGAGACATTTGTTTCGATAGTTGAATCATTGTGTTAATAAGTTTATATTGATGACAAAGATATAACTTATAATTTGTTGAAGTTATAAACATCAGTAATTGATAAAAGTTTATAACGGGTGTCCAGTGGGTGATATTCATTAAAGTGTATGTAATAATTGAATAGATAGTTTCTGCCGCCGGTGCTCAGTTGGTTGTTGTCATAACGTTTATATAGTTGTTAAACACTACATAAAGATTGATATTGGTATTTTTTATAGTAATCCATTATTAAGCAATTATGGATTATGAGAAATGGGTATCATTGGGAGAGAGGCTTGGGTTGAAGGACGGGGATTTACGTGATTATGTTCAAAAGAAAGAATCAGAATATCTTGATAGAGAAGAGAGAAATATTAGACGTGAAGAAGATAAACGGCGATTTGAGGCCGAGCGTAAAGCAAAAGAAGCTGAACGTGAAATCGAACGTCTAGAAAAAGAAGCCGAACGTGAGGAAAAGAAACGTTTATTTCAAGCTGAAGTAGAGATGAAAATGAAAGAGCAAGAAATAGAATTAATGAAGTTAAAAATCGAGGCTGGGGATCGCCTTGATACCCCGTCTAGCACCGGTTTGAGGCCAAGATTGCCTAAATTTGAAGAGTCAAAAGATGACATAGATGCTTATATAGAGCGTTTTGAAAGGTTCTCCATTAGTCAAGGATGGAAAGAAGATACATGGGCAATAAGCTTAAGTTCTTTATTAACCCATTACTTCATGAGCATTTTGTGAAAAATGGCTGTTTTCATTGAAAAGTCTCCCGTTACAACTTCAAATTGCTATAATACTATAAAAACTCCTTCAACACTAATCAAACTTGGCACAAATGTTGACTGGACCATTGCCCTTGCAACAACATGCTCAGGCTTAAATTTTCTGTTACCATGGCAACGAGGGGACATCTCAAAATTGCAAAAAAACACTATTTTGCGTTGATTTTTTCTATCAAAATTGATTTCAAAGTGCTGCAACTTTTCAATGGATTGAGATAGTCAAATGCTTTTCATCGTTGGTTACACGTTACCTTATGATCAATCTTGGGTCATTTATAGCGTCTCACAAGTCCAAAATTTTCTTGGCGATGAGAGGGACTACCGCCCCCTTCAAACCCCCCAACCAGAATGGGGCACATTCCCCTTCTGGCAACCCCCTGATGTATTTTTTGGTTGGGGGCCGCGCCGAAAAAGTGCTCACTTTTTTAACAACATTTCTCAAATAAAAACAAGTGTTTGGGGCCTAAATAAGGCTTTTTTTCATCATTTGAGACAACAAAAAAGGGGGGGTGAAAAAGGCGTTAAAAGGCGTGTATATGAAGTAATGGGTTAACGGGGAAAGGTCTTGAAGTTTACACTAGTATGCCTCCTGAGCAAGCATCAGACTATCAAGAATTAAAAACAGCAGTTTTGAAAAGATACCAATTAACAGAAGACGGTTTCAGAACGAAATTTAGAGAGAGTAAGCCGGAACAAGGAGAGACTGTAAACCAATTTATGGCTCGATTAGATAGGTACTTCAGTAGATGGACAGAAATGGCCGACGCTGCGGATACAGTAGATAAATTGAAAGATCTTATTATTAGAGAGCAATTTGTCAAAGTTTGTTCAACAGAGCTAGCTCTTTTTCTTAAGGAACGAAAGCCAAAGGATCGTAGAGATGTCATCTCTTTGGCTGAACAATACTTAGAGGCTCATGGCGGTACAATTACAAATAGTAAAAGCTCAAAAGTTGCCAATTTTTCAAATAAATCACCAATACGCCTTAATCAAGGTAATCTATTAAAATATGAAAAACAAGATCAACAAGGAAAGGCGGCGTTCAATGAACGCAACCCCCATATGACCCAGCAACAAGAACCAATGGCAAGGAGCCCAGGCGGACCCCAAACATAAAAAGGACAGGGCAACGACACGTTAATCATTAAATGATAAATAATTTGTAACTGATTAGGAATTCAAAGAAAATAATAATAGGCCCACAAAGGGGAAGGGGACAGGAGACCCGGGGGAAGGGGGGGGGGGGTAATCAAAGAAATAAAAACTTGAGGCAATGGGGAAGATACTTACCGTAGACGAGAAAACAACAAGGGACACAAGCAAAAAGTGTCACCAAAACAGTATGAAACAACATAGACATACATCTGAGGAACACAGTGGGGCGCCGCCTTGGAACGGTCAGCAGCATAATAATGACTGCTGGGGAGTTTAAACCGGTTAATGGTGCACCAAACCTCGCTCTTAGCCCCACCATGTTCCTATAAACGAGACAGTGTAAATAAAATGAATCCCCGCCAAGTGAAATTCTAACAGTTGTCATGGTTACAAAAGGTTAAATAAGTAAAACACTAAAATGATCATGTAGAAGCATATAAAAGTAAACCCAATGACCATAACAAAAGTACTCAATGTCCTAAAGGAAGACAGAGCAACAAGAAAATCACCTACAAGGGCCCGACGAAGCAAGGCAGAAGACGAACATTAAGACAATTCAGTCCCAAAGGGCTTTACGAACTATCCATCATAGAGTCTCCCACTTGGTCCGTCAGATGCAATCAAAAGAGGAAAGCGTAGTGTCCAACTGTAAAAGGGTTGAACACTAAACATGCAGTATGTCTTAAAATAGTAGGGTCATAACCTCTTTTAATAAAACGTTTAATAATTTTAGTAAAAACAGCAGAAAAATTACCATGACCCAAAATCTTACGAAGTTTGTAAACCACATCGCCATAAAAACCAGGCTGGCTAATCCCTTGTCGCAGAAAGAGTTTTTAAATCACTATTGAATTTAGAAATTAAATCAAAGTTACGATTGTAAAATTTAGTAAAATATTTCCGTAATTTATGATAGCGGTAGCCCTGTTTTAGAAGCTTGCTGGTAATAAAAATATTCCGCTCGTTGAAATCCTTTACGTTGTTACAAGCTCTAGCGAATCTAATTAACTGAGAAACATAAACCCCGTAGGATGTTGCATGGGGTACGTCTCCATCCAAATGTGGATAATTAACTATACAAAAGTCAAAGTCATCTCTTTTATCATAAATTTTCGTGTGAATAGAATTGTTGTTGATAGTAATATGAAGATCCAAAAATGATGTACTAAAATTTCAAGAGTTCGTTTTATTAAGTTGTAGTTCATGCGGATAAATGTCAGACACCATTTGATCAAAATAAGGATTATCTAAATTAAGAATATCATCAAGGTATCTGGAAGTATTATTAAATGCGACTATAACATCTTGTTGTTTCTCTTCAGAGAGACTCAACATAAAGTCTCTTTCATAGCAGTACAAAAACAAATCGGCGACCAGGGGTGCACAATTAGTACCCATAGGAATTCCTATGATCTGTTTAAATAGGGTATTACCAAACCTGACATAAATGTTGTCTAAAAGAAAAGAGAGTGCTCTACAAACTTCGTCACAGGTCCACATAGTATAATGTTTAACAATACCGTTAGTAAAAAAAGCTTTGTTCGAATTACATACTAGAAAGGTAACTTTTCCCGTGCAAAAGTTTTCTGAATTAGGGAAATTAGTTTATCATTGATTAATTTATGTGGCAAAGTTGTATAAAGTGTAGAAAAATCGTATGTACTGACAGTTGAAGCTTGAAAGTTATTAATTTTAAATTTATCCAAGATTTCACCAGAATTTTTAATTGACCAAAAGAGATGTTTGCCTGTGTTTTCATAGACTTTATCACAATATCTAATTACATGTGTTTTAATGGCAGTCAAACAAGACGTCAATAAAATAGAAAGTTTACTTGTAGTGCAAGATGTAGAATTAGCAATAAATCTGGCTTTGTAAGGTTTTTTATGTAATTTAGGAATCCAATACATAATAGGAAGTTTGAGTTCTTTTTCATTAATTTGGACTTTAAGATTGGAAATATTAGTAATATGATTTTTTACAATGTCTTTTTCGGAGGCAGAGGTTTTAGAATACGCATTAGTGCTATTTAGTTCCTTATGCAAAACGTTAATGTAATGGATTCGTCAAACAATTATAATATTATTAGCCGCCTTGTCCGCTGGCACCAAAACAAATTTTGAATGAAAAGCTAGAATATCTTTTTTCAGATGTCTTAAAGTAAGTCTTGGCTTAGGTGGCAAAAGATGTTCATTTCCACGATAAAAATTAATACGTGAATCAATAATTTTAAAGATGTTACGTTTCCATGTAACTAGAGCATTACTATCCGCATTTTCACGGCGACACCATTTGACCGAAAAATCCTCTATAGATTCAGCAATCTGACCACGACAAGCATTAAAATCAATCTCAGAAGGAATTCTGTATTTAGGTCCTTTCAAAAATAAGTTACGAATTCTTTTGTCTGCAATTATATCAAAATTACCAGTGATTATATGGCCAAAATCTGAATTACAGAATTTAGAAGTATTGCAGTCTCAAAAAATAGATAAATACAGAATCCCTAAAGAAAGCCCAACACGGCAAAATTGAAAATGTTGCAGGCTCGGTTTGATTGAGCCTGTTCATGGACGGTACTGGAAAGTGCAAGTTACCGTCCACGCCCCCTAGCACCGGCTTAAGCAGAATTCAACATTTAAACGTGAAATAGTAAAACTTTGAATTTAGAAACATCCGCAGATGTGTTCATACGGCGGTTAACATGGAACCTTCAATGTGACACTTCCGTGCCATTCCATGAAAAGCGGCGTATGGTCCCCAAGTAATAAAAAGCGTGTGCCCTAAACGAGAAAACAATGGGCAGAACTAAATAAAATGGAATTTTGAAAGGGGATCAGAGGTTATGAAGCCTGCGTATCACAGATAAGACGTCAAAAGACAAATTGAAAAAGCAGGCAACATATCCTAAGGGTGATTCAACATTATTCAAGTAGGAATATTGGAACCACCCAACTAGAAAATGCCGAAAAGTTGTAACTAAAAATACCACAAGTTGTTGGAGTATTAGACTGAATATCTAAGTCAGAAACCACTTTGTTGTAATTAAATATGATATTTCTAACAGGTTTCTTATATTTATAGCAAATAATTGGTATCTCGGAGTTTTTGAAGTATAAAGGAACTGAATTAGTGACACGTTTATCACGAAAAATACTTGGTAAATCGATGAAATCGATACCTTTATTAAGAAAGGTTACTTTTAGGAAATGCCTGTTGTGGTCAGAAGTGTTGTCGATATGAGGTCTTAAGACGTGCTGAGTATAACTTTGAATAAGATAAGCTGCTGTATATAAAGGATCTGTTTGAATAACTATATTATCTGCCTCCGCGTCTAAGATTTTCAGAGATGATAATGAAAGGGAAGTAAGACGTGATAACATTGCATGTTTACCAGAGTTTTTTAAGATAATATTTAAGTCGGTGACAGACAGGGTAATTTTAGATTTACGTTTGATGTTGCCATTCTACGTACTCCGTGAGATCGGGATTTACGTTTACGAATATTCAGAATAGAAAATATATCAATGTTTGGATCTTTAGAGATGTTACCTTGTTGAAAAAATATTTGTCATTTAGGCCAAGTGGGAAAGGCGTTTGTAAGCTCTTGATCCATTTTAATTCTGCTAAGTGTCTAACTTTAACTTTAAAACTAGCAGAAGCATCAGAATCGTAAATTATTTGTTCCACTGCTTGAATTGAAACATTTTTAAATGAATGACCATCTTTACGAAAATGTTGATATAGAAAAGTTGTAAATTTTGTGCGATTTCTCATTTTATAAAAATGTTCACGGAATCGAATTTTAAGAGAACGTCCTGTCTGACCAACATACTGTATGCCACACCCAGGGGTGTTTCAAGTTAAAACATAAACAAAATGAGTTGCCGTATTAAAACCAATACAGCACTATCACAGAGAAAATAGAAAAGTTACATGCCCATTGTTTTCTCGTTTAGGGCACACGCATTTTTTTACTTTGGGACCATATGCCGCTTTTCATGGAATGGCACTAACGTGTCACATTGAAGGTTCCATGCGGATGTTTCAAAATTCTAAATTTTACCAGTTCATGTTAAATGTTGAATTCTGCTTAAGCCGGTGCTAGGGAGCGTGGACGGTAACTTGCACTTGACAGTACCGTCCATGAACAGGCTCAATCAAACCGAGCCTGCAACATTTTCAATTTTGCCGTGTTGGGCTTTCTTTAGGGATTCTGTATTTATCTATTTCATATGTAATAGAGAGGGTCATGTGGCCAGAGATTGTCGAGATCAGACTAAGAAAAGATATGGGGTTGCTGCAATGTCATATGGAGAGCAAAATAGAAATTACTTTAAAACAAATCGGGATTCTTCACCAAGGAACTGGTGTAGTAGGCCTGGAGGAAATAGACGTGATGGTAGATTAGATGATAAGAAAGTATCGGGGTTATGTATGTCAATTTCTCCAACAAGTTCTTATGATGGTTGTATTGAAGAGGGGAAACTTAAATTAGCTAATGGTAATTCTGTGCCTGTCATTACAAGTAGCTGTACAATTGAAGGTGAACGTCAACTGGATCTGAAACTAGGATATGTTGGTAATCAAGAGGTGAAAGGTCTTAGAGACACTGGTTGCGAGTTAGCAGTAGTTAGAAAGATGTTAGTGGAAGAAGATCAAATGCTGAATAAAAATTGTGTCATGATAGCAATAGATGGTCGGGCCAGGTTGGTACCCATGGCAAAAATAGACATTGATACGCCTTATTATAAGCGGAAAAATAGAAGCTATGATTTAGAGTCAGCAATTTGTGACTTAGTCTTGGGCAATATTCAGGGTGTACTGTGATAAGCCAAATGAGAAGTGGGTTAGCCGAGAAGTAACAAACATAGCTGCTGTTGTTACTAGAGCACAGGCCGAGAAAGAGAAGAAAGCAATGAAACCTCTTAAAGTCCCAAAGGTCGAAGATAAACGAAATTACGGTAGATGTTCTTAAGAAAGAACAATCAAATGACAATACGTTACAGCGTTTGTGGCAGTATGCTAGGGAAAATAAGATCATGAAAACAAAAAGCGGGTAACAAATTTAGATATGAAGTAGAAAAAGATGTGTTGTATAGGAAAGAATATTTGAGACGGTGAAACGGCGATTTTGAAGTCTGAAACAAGACAAATAGTTGTTCCTAGTAAATATCACAAAAAGAGTTATGTCATTAGCTCATGAATCTATAAGTGGGTGGGCATTCTGTCTGTACGCAAGACTTTAGACAGGATACAGTCTAGTTTTCACTGGCCAGGTATTTCTAGTGATATAACTAGAATTTTGTCGCTTCCTTGTGACATTTGTCAGAAGACGGTGCCCAGGGGTAGACTTCAGAAAGCTCCTTTAGGCGAAAATGCCTATTATTGATACTCCGTTCCAGAGAAATTGCGGTTGATTTTGATAGGGCCAATAACGCCTGTATCGGAAAAGGGAAATCATGTACATATTAACTGTAGTTGATTATGCTACACGTTACCCAGAAGCTGTTGCTTTAAACCAAGAAATTGAGACTGAAAATATAGCTGAAGCATTGTTAGATGTTTTTGCAAGAGTAGGTTTCCCATCAGAAAATACTTAGTGATAGGGGTAGTCAGTTCACGTCACAACTTATGGACGAAGTATGTAAGACTTGTATCACTGAAAAGTTGTTTACTAACTCCTTTACAATCCAAAATGTTATGGTTCTTTGTGAGAGAATGAATGGTATTTTAAAAAGCATGTTGAAGAAAATGTGCCAAGAAAGACCTACGGATTGGGATAGATATTTGTCTGCGGTTCTCTTTGCATACAGAAAAGTCCCTCAGTCAAGTACACGGTTCTCACCATTTGAGCTTTTATATGGCAGAACTGTTAGAGGTCCCATGCAAGCACTTAAAGAATTATGGACAGAGACAGAAGTACAAGAAACACGTAATACGTATGAGTACGTCCTAGATTTGAGAAATAGATTAGAAACAAACATGCAAGATTGCTAGAGAGAAACTCAGCAACTCACAAGAAGAGTATAAACATCATTATGATAAGAAAAACACGACCAGAAGTCTTAAGAAAAGGAGACAAAGGTTTTATTGCTCCTGCCTTCAACACACAATAAACTGATGTTACAATGGAAAGGTCCATTTGTTGTAAGTGAAGCAGTTAACAAGTTTGACTACAAAGTAAATGTAGGTGATAGAATTGGAATGTACCACATAAATCTTCTGAAGAAATATGAAGAAAGAGAAGATAGAATTTGTGCGAGTGTATAGCTGTAATAGAAGCCGAAAATAATGATGATAATGGGTTGTTGATGATGAAAATCTTTTAGAACTAGTAGACATGCACAGACGAGTGAAGAGACGTACAGAGATGGTAATGTTTAATGATCAATTAACTCTTGAACAAAAATCAAGAAGTAAATGCGTTGCTTCAAGAATTTGTGGATATTTTTACTGATAATCCCGGAACTACAGATCTTGAATCTCACAAGATTGAGTTGACTGACAAAACACCAATTCGTGTTAGACAATATACGATACCAATATGCAAAAAGGACAGCGGTAGAGGATGAAATTAAGAAAATGCTTTGAATGTGGTATCATTGAACCAGCAAATTCTGATTATAATTTTCTCCAATTGTTTTGGTGAAGAAAAAGGATAATACAAACCGCTTTTGTATTGACTTCAGACGACTCAACTCTGTAACAAAGTTTGATACAGAACCAATGGGTAATGTTGAGGATGTGATGGCAAAGCTAAAAGAAGATAAGTTCTTCACAAAAATTGATTTGACCAAAGGTTTTTGGCAAATACCAATTGAAGCAAAATCAAGAACATCTAACAGCATTTTCTACAACAGAAGGTAAGTAGTTACCAATTCAGAAAGAATGCCATTTGGAATGGTCAATTCTGGTACAACATTTAATAGAATGATGCGGAAGTTGCTTTCCGGAGTGAGTGATACTGATAACTATGTTGACGATGTGCTTGGACATACGGTTACATGGAGAGACACATGAAGATGTTGAGACAATTGTTCGAAAGAATACGAAACGCAAAGATCACAGTTAAGCGTTCTAAATGTATGATTGGATTTGAAGTATACCATTTACCGGTCATGTTGTTGGCAAAGGACAAATGCAAATGGAAGATGACAATTAGTCAAAATTAGAGACGCTATGCGACCAGAGTCAAAGAAGCAACTGAGATCATTTCTTGGTCTAGCTGGATACTACAGAAAATTCATTGCTTCATTTGCAGAAATTGCTTCACCATTGACAGATCTTACGAAGAAAGGACAGCCAAATAAAATCATATGGAAACCAGAACATGAAAAAAGCCTTTACGACATTGAAGCAAGTACTGACACGATCACCAATACTACGACTTCAGACTTTTCAAAGTCATTTGTTTGCAATGTGATGCTTCAGATACAGGAGTAGGGGCTGCACTTTCTTCAAACAGTTTGATGATGATGGCTTGCTTCCAATAGCCTTACGCGAGTAAGAAATTGTTGAATAGAGAAAGAAATTCTACTCGGTTATCGAAAGGGAATGTCTTGCAATGGTATTCGAATAAAGAAATTCAACAAATATTTGTACGGGAAAGAATTTGAGCTGCATACAGACCATGCTCCTTTAACGTATATTCAGAAATGTCAAGTAGAAAGTGGCCGCATAATGAGATGGGCATTATTTTCTACAGAACTTATAAGTTTAGAACAGTAGCTGTGAAAGGAAAGGACAACGTGTGTGCAGATTACCTAAGTAGACTAGATACCTGGTAAAGAGACATTGTAGATTATTCCTTTTGTTTGAAAACAGTGGAGTGTTTTCTTGAGTAGGGGCTGTCAGAATAATCATGCAGTTTCACTGTAGATAGTTGTTTTTTTACAACGAGTCAGCGATACACTGAAGTGTATCAGATTTCAATGTACAGTTTCATTTATAAACCTGTTGCTGGGAGTATAAAATATGTATACATGTTTAAAGTTCAAATCGTTTAAGCTAGCAAATACCGGTATGCGCGTTTAGAGAGAGATTTTACATCAGTTAGGTGAGACACGCTGATAGTGTGTAGCGGTTATTTTTTTATTGGGAAGAGAATGTTGTTGTTTTGAAGAGAATTTTGTTGTTTTGAAGTCAGTTTTGTTGGTTTGTTGAAGTGGTTGTTGAGTTATATCTGTTTGTGAAGATATAATTAGTTGATATTGGTTGAATGTTTGGTATTGTCAAGATTATATTAGTTGCTGCTTTGTTTTGAGGATATATGTAAATATTGGGGGCTTTAGTTTAAGTTGTTTCTGATGCTGATTAGATTTTGTGAAGTATATATTGTTGGTTGAATGTTGTGGTTTAAACTGTATCTTAGAGTTGTAAAAAATATTCAACGTTGTGTTCTTCATTTTTGTGGTGATTTTTTTTGTTTTGTTTGATCATAAGTTTTGTTTAGAGCTTGGGCTCGCCAGGTGTCTTGTTTCGTATAAAAGACGTATACGTGAAAAAGATATTTCATATAAGTGGCTGAAATGATGTGTGTTTGTTTTGGGTGTAAATAATGATCAGAGTTCTTTGTTTTGGGTGTAAATAATAATCAGAGTTTGTTGTTTACATGTATATATTGATTTGAGATAGAAAAGGATAAAAATACCTAAAAAAAAGATAGTGTTAACTAAACAATTACATGCTAGTTTTCCAACTGAGAATATTTCACTTTTATGTCAGGCGGTGCTGCCCAGCATCCATATCTTGGAAATTGGTTATAGTATTTATTACTAAATCTTTTCTTAGATTAAATAACATCAAGGCAGACATTTCTCCTGACAAAAAGGTAATGTTAACAAACAATATAAATAATTGGTGATATGATTGAGTTGATCACAACCATCAAAAATACAACAACACAAGTTCATATCTTATGTCGTACATGCTATTCAAGGAAACAAGCAAAATAACAATCTTAGGATATATGCTACAAAGTAAACAATACTAGTTTGATAGATCCTGTTCTTTTACGGCAGAACTATAATCATTCTATCGCTTGTACTGCATCGTGCGACTGACAAATCAGCCTCCAATATTTTGATGCTCATATTCCAGTAGTTTGTTGTAATAATCAACACATTATTAAACTATCTATGTGTTTTCCGAAACGGCCATTATGATTTCAAAGCATGTTAAACTGAAAAAGATAAAACATGAACCAATTATACTTTGTCTAGCTTTTCTTTAATAAAATGTCTATTTCATAGTCAGCAAAAATTTCGTAATGCTACTTTTAGCGGTATTGGCAAAGGGGTCTAAGATTACTGAAACAATTAAACTATACACCTGATGCTAACAAAAATGTTAAGAATATCAAGATTTATATCCTTTTTCCATGATTTATATAGAGTTATTTGCAAAGGGCAGTCGTATATATTTAGGAATATTACTTCATGTTCAACCAAGCTTACCTTTAGAACACTTGAGTGTAACACGGAAACAAATTAAAGATATAAAGGACATAAAGAACAGCAGTTTCATATGAAAAGAAATATATTAAATATGTTAATTAACTTCTTCAAAATGTAGACATATCTGAAAACGTTTTAATCTAAATTTATGGAGCTGCCTTCATTTTATACTAAGTCTAGTAATTGGTTACACACAAATATAATAACTAATGCAGTTGAAACCATCCTTTGGAAAAGTCTTAAGATGTTAAAGTAATTACTAGTAATACTCAGTCTGGCCTTATGCGATGTTCTCTACTAAAAAAAACGTCATAGATATCGTTTTCAGATGAATAACAAATAACGGTATCATTGTTTTGAGGTATTTACGCAGGCTCCGTTGAAACAAAATGTTTGCTTATGAATAAAATTTATATAATATATAGAAAATAAAGCAGATTCATCAACATTTCTGTGAATATTTTAACAAAATCCAACCATATTTCTTTCAAAAATGTTTTTTGTTTGTTTGTTTGGATTTTTACGGCACGTCAACACATAACTGGCCATATCGTGCCGAATGCTATAATAGGCTTAAAATGTTATGTAAAACTTTGTAAACGACAATAAAAATGAGCCAATTAGATCCTAGAATACAAGTTTATCTCCTTCAAATAATCAATGATGTATTTGGTGAATTTGTAAGAGATGGGTTTATATCGTGAAGTTTATTAAAAACGGCATTGTCCCAATTTGCTCTCCATTCAGATGATATAATTTATTTATTTATAGCCGGTCTAAAATCACAAGCAGGTAACAATAAGTCAGTTTTGTATTATTTATATTTTATTCAAGGACTAAAATATTACTGCTAAACTAAACGCATATGTACTTTAGTTGTGCGTTCAAAAAGACAAACGACTGCAAAACATTACAGCATTCTCGAAAGTGAATAGTCTGTACATTACCAATGCAAAGTAAAACAAACATATCTAAATGAAGATGTTGCCCACAGAAGCTTGAACAATATAATGTATGTATATCTTAATTTATGTTCTACTGACACATCATTAGTACCTGAGTGTAAAGTAAAAAATGTAATGAGATTATAGTTAAAATGAAATAGAGGCACATGAACAAACTAATACATTAAAAACATTTATGTT